GGAAGGATCGCCGGAGCCCAGCAGGTCGAGGCTGCGGGGCCCGGGAGCGGCCACTGCACTCCCAGTCTGGGTGACTCAGTGAGACTCCAACTCAAAAAAAAAAAAAAAAAAAAAAGACCTTTGGGCTCTCTAATTCTAATGGATTTTAATTGCATATTAGTGGGTTTTCTTAAGATGGTGTTCTGGGCTGGGTGTGGTGGCTCACGCCTATAATCCCAGCACTTTGGGAGGTGGAGGCGAGAGGATTGCCTGAGCCCAGGGGTTTGAGACCAGCCTAGGCAACTTGGCGAGACCTCTTCTCTACAAAAAATCAAAAAATTAGCTCGGTGTGGTGGCATGCACCTGTAGTTTCAGCTACTTGGAAGATTGAGATGGAAGGATCACCTGAGTTCAGCAGGTTGAGGTTGTAGTACTGCACTCTAGCCTGGTTGACAGAGTGAGACTTCGATTTGAAAAAAAGATGTTACTTTGGTTTGTTTTGGGCTGGATATTGTAAATTCTATGAATCTCTAAAGTGAATAGCAGGAAGATCAGTACGTCAGATTAGGTATATTTCTGAACTGAAATGGTGGGGTTTTGCTTGTCAATTCCTGCTGGAGTCTGGTGTCAATTCAAGAATGAATGGCGTTAAGCAGCATGTTCCTTTCCCAAATGCGAATTGTTTCTTCAAAGCATATTATTAAGAGAAACATAGTTATACCTATAAGCTTTTAAAATTTAAGAGGGCATCTTGTGGGAAATTCTGTTGTATAGTCACTGAAATTGGCACTATATATAATTTCTTCTTTCCCATTATGCTTGTACAAAATACATGTAGGCAATAATATGTTTCTCTATATTCATTTTCAGAAAAAGATTAGTCAAGAAGTGTTTAACTTTGAGTTTTGATTATTTAACTAAACAAATAGTCATCTGTAGAAATTAACTCAGGCGAAATTTATTTTCTTTGAATTACAGACATAAATGATTAATATTATATATTTAATTTTTTAAAATGTCTATAGTAAAGAGGCATGAAATATGACTTCATTGTGCCTTTAATGTTCCTTCTTGACTACAGATCATATTTTTAATTTAATATACTTAATAGCAGTTATTATAAGAACCTAAGATTCTCTTATACTGAGTTTCTATAGGAATAGAGTCAACTCCTATATGTAACATGATTTCTGGAAAGACTACCACTTTATCATAAAAAAAAAAAAACGAATTAAAATTGTGCATGTGTATTTCGTAGTATGCATAGCTCTAAGCCTTGGGCTCCAGGAAGTCATGACTGTTGATTTAAACATAATGGTCCCATGGATTATGATTGGTAGACAAAGGTTTATTTTTCACTGTATGCTTTGTAACTGTTTTTGGTTGATAATACCTTCAGATTATCTAATAATTGCCAACAGTGTGTTAAGTACTTTGCTCCAGACTGAAATACTGACATTTTTCTTTTTCAGGACTTAGAAGGAGTGGATATCATCTTAGGTGTCTGCTCTAGTGGCCTTCTGGTTTATAAAGATAAGCTGAGAATTAACCGCTTTCCTTGGCCCAAAGTGCTAAAGATTTCTTACAAACGTAGCAGCTTTTTTATCAAGATTCGGCCTGGAGAGGTACATAATTTGTGTTTCCTTTCTCTCAAACCATACAAAGAACATGTCCAAAACATCTCTTCATTTCATTTTCCTTGTTATGTCATCTAAGAGGACTCTCTATAGCTAACTAGTCAGGGACTGATAATTCCATTTTCTAAATTGATCAATCTTGTGATATATCTTCTTCTTATTGCTGGTCTTCTGGACATTTCTCTTCTTGTAAGTAACTATACCAATTCCAAAAGTTCGATATGGATTGATAAACTTGTTTCTTGCTTACTCCAGACAAAACTTAATGGAAAAATATTTTTAAACTGAGTGGCATGAGTGGGGTTGGTAAGTTTTTGCATACCAACCTGTTACCTCATATAAGTAAAATTTATTTGTATGCATAGTGGTTACTGAGAATGTGTTCTAGAATCAAGTTCTAGATATTTAATAGAGTTGTATGTTCAACTTTGTACCAGTTACTCATTCATTAGTTGGTGATCAGGTTTTAAGATATACTAATGCTGGGGTTAGTGGCACACCTCATCAACAAGGGTACCTACACAATGAATATTTGTATACCTAACCCTGAATTGTACCCCACAATTTAAAATAAAATAAAATAAAATATTAAAATAAAAAATAAAACAAACAAATAAATAGATATACTAATGCTGGCCAAATTAAACTTCTATCTTGAAGAGCCATTATGGTACAGCAGAAAATTGTTTAAGTAGGAATTAAATTTTTAAAAAATTTCTGGCTCCTTCTCTAACACTTACTAAGCCAAAGACTTGAATCTAAGACTCAGCTTCCTTATCATTCAAGCAGTATGATAAGAATGTGTATGTGTGCGCAGGATACCTGCTTACTCTATATAGTTATTTGAAGATCAAATGAGATGACAACTGTAAAAGCTCTAATACAGGAAAGGACCGTACTAATGTAAGGTATCTTTTTTGTGTATATATCACCATCTGCTGGTGAAAAAAGTTCATTATTTGAGCCTGGAAATTCTGGACATGAAGACTTAAAAATCTTGGCTAGAGATTATCATGGAAGCATTTATTTTGTTCTATAATTATTTACCTGTGCCTACCACAGAGCAATCAATGTCCTTCCTCAAAGTTTCAAACTCAAGAGTTAGTCAGCAAATGTTTATTGAGGATCATCCTGTGTTTGACATTATTGTAAGGGCTGGGAATATAACAGTGAATGAGTCCCATCCCTCAGCAACCTTACTTTTGAATATGGAAGGCAGAAAATATATGTGTGTGTGTGTGTGTGTGTGTGTGCGTGTGTGTGTGATACAGTATACAAATACAGTATACACACACACACACAGAAATGTTAACAAATATAATGGGAGGTTCTTAGCTTCTATAAATTTCAACTGTATATAGCATATACTAAAAATGCAGAATTCCTCTTTAAGAAGGCAATCAGGAACAACAGTTATAAAGTATGCTTAAAGCAGAAACAAAGAGACAAGAACTCAACAGGATAGTGTTTCTAGTAGTCCTAGCAGGATATGGATTGCTTTGGCCAAAGAGGTATCTAGATAAATTAGTGATCAATCAAAGGAAAAAAAGAGAATACATTAAATAATTCAGGAATCTGGGGAATGAGTTCAAGAGATATAGTATACAGCATACTTATAGTTAATAATAGTATATTTCTTGAGAATTGCTAAGGGAATAGATTTTCTGTGGTCTTATCACAAAACCATGATAAGTATGTGAGGTAATACATATGTTAATTAGATTGATTTAGTCATTCCACAATGCATACATATTTTAAAGCAACATGTTTTAGACGATAAATATATACAATTTTTATGAACTTTAAAAATGAATGTTAAAAAAATGGGTTTTGAACAAAAAATTTAGCTTCCATTATCCCATTCCCTGATCTTTGAGTAGTCTAGTGTCCCAGATGCAGATAGTAACTAAAGAAAAGCAGTGTCTGGACAATCAAAATGTGACTTAATTATGTCTCAGAAAAATGTACTCTGTGTGTGTGTGTGTGTGTGTGTGTGTGTGTGTGTGTGTTTTCTGAATGAAAATAACATACTTAAATGAAATGAGACGTATCTTCTGACTACCTTGCTTTGGAGAAAGACATTCTCAGTCGGTGAATTTCTGTTGGTAAGTAGGAAAAAAATCTCAAATGATATTTTATGTTCTTAAATTGGTAACAATGGTCTCTTCTGTGGTACCATATTTGTCCAGTACTGTATCATATTTGTCTAGTACTGTACCATATTTGTCCAGTACTGTATTGAATAATACTTCATGTTCCATGTTTGTTTATATTTTTATAGCAAGAACAGTATGAAAGTACTATTGGATTCAAACTTCCCAGTTACCGTGCAGCTAAGAAATTATGGAAAGTCTGTGTAGAACATCACACATTTTTCAGGTATTGTTCTCACTTAGTATTTTTCAAGGATAAATTATTTATACTTGTTTCTATTCTAAGCCTGCTATTGAAATTCTCTTCTTTGTATGACTGGCACTTTTTTATTTAGCTCAGGCGAGATCATCTTAAGCAAGACAAAATGGATCCAGTTCTCCCCCTTTGGGTTGAAAAGTATGCCACAACATTTCTTTTTGATTATTAGTATTATTTTTTAGTTGGAATCTCACTCTGTTAACTAGGCTAGAGTACAGTGGCATGATCACAGCTCACTGCAGCCTCGACCTCCTGGGTTCAGGGGCTCCCTCCAACTCCTTCCTGAGTAACTGGGACTACAGGCAAGCACCATCACTCCTGGCTAATTAAAAAAAAATTTGTTTTTAGAGACACAGTCTTGCTATGTTGCCCAGGCTGGTCTCGAACTCCTGGGCTCAAGTTATCCTCCTGACCCAGACTCCTAAAGTGTTGGGTTTGCAAACGTGAGCCACTGTGCCCAGCCAATGCTTCAACATCTCCAAAGCACCTCTTTGTATACAGTAGAAGGAGAGAAGTAAGGAATGGGAACCTGTGTATACTGGGTGCTCTATGATTGCCCTAACTGTAACAAAGATCAGTCCTATTAAGGCAAGGTTCCCTCACTTACCTCCACATGACATTTCTCTAAGTACTGCTTAACTACTTTTTGTGGAGCTTTTATAATAGAAGGTTAAAGATGTGAAGCTGATTGCTAGCTTAGCTCTAATTAACTCCAGAAGCACACGGAATCATCTTTGAAGCTCAATTGTGCCAGACAATCAGAAGACAGAAGAAAGTATCATTTTCTCTGCTTTTTATTAACCTCTTGAATTCATTTACCAAACATTTTCTGTGTGCTTACCTTTCATGTAGGCACTGTGGTAGGCGTTGGGAATATACCACAAGATAGTTCTAGTTTCTATCCTGATGGAACATATAATCTAGCAGAGAAGATAGAACTTAGATGAGTAATTGCTTTTACTAAAAGGAGAACGAGCTAGATATTGTCAGTTTGCCTTTTTTAAGAAAATTTCTTTATTATGGAAAATTTAATACATGGCAACAGTATAGTGTATTTCCCTTGTGGTGTCACCCAGCTTCAATAATTATCACCGCAAGGCCAATCTCATCTATATCCTCAATCACTTCTTCCGTCTACTTCCCAGATTATTTTGAAGCAAATTCTAGGCCTCATACCATTTCATTCATAAATAAACTTGCTTCTTTATAAATGTCTCTTGATGAGAGAGGGAGGGACGGAGGCAGAGAGAGAGAGAGAGAGAGAAGAAGAAGAAATAGAGAGATAACTCTGATATCTTTTCCTTCCATTTGTATTTTCATATAATACTCAGCATTATAGCACAGTGGACAGGAAGAAAAGTCAAGGAAAATAATATTTAAATTCTCATTTCAAAATAAAACACAACGATACACTTTACACCCAATTAAAGAATCTTAATTATTGGCATTAACACATTTCTTTATGCTTCATCATCCCTTCTTCTTTAAAATCAAACCAAAAAAAGAATTTTTAAAAAGAGCAAGGAAGTCGGTGGCTCAGCCTGTAATCCCGTGCCTTTGGGAGGCTGAGGTGAGTGGATTGCCTGAGCCCGCAGGTTCGAGACCCGCCTGGGTAACTTGGTGAGACCTCATCTCTACAATAAATCGAAAAGTAGCCGGGCATGGTAGCACGCGCCTATAGTTCCAGCTACTTGGAAGGCTGAGGCGGAAGGATCGCCGGAGCCCAGCAGGTCGAGGCTTCGGGCCGGGAGCGGCCACTGCACTCCAGTATGGGCAACAGAGTGAGACTCTAACTCAAAAAAAAAAAAAAAAAAAAAAAAAGGCAAGGAAAAGTGAGAAAGGGTGATTTTGAATGTTTAGCATCAATGGTATAGATTTCAGCTGCAGCCAACGTATTTACTTGTAGGCTGGCATGTTTATATCCATTGCATCAAAATAAGAGGGTATATTAAAATGTAATGCTCCATTACATATAAGAAAATTCATGTTTGCTGTATTAAAATTAACTATGCTAAAGGGAAAAAAGTACTCTCCTTTCAGTAATAGTTGATGTAGCAATTCATGTATTTAACAAACATTTATTGGGTGCGAAATTCATGGCAGGCATTAGGCCAGAGGCAAAAATACAACGATGAATAAGTCATGGTCTTTGTTCTTTACTCTGAAAGAGTTCACAGTTTCATAGGTGAGACCAGGACAGAGGTAGATTGTTTGAATTCAGTGTAGTAAATTCCATGACAAAAGAGTGCATAAGTTACTGCATTGAAAGAAGATGGGGTTCCTAACAGAGATGAAAATACACCAAATAACCTATTAAATAGGTTACTAGGCATTAATTGGATTTAAAGCACATTTGACAAAAGAGCCCTGGGCTTGAACTTTGTTACTACCCAATCTCTTAACAGTTGTGTGACTTTAAGTGAATAATTTCTTTTTTGAGATCCAGTTTCCTGTATTTATAAAATAGTGAAAACATTACAAGGATGTCGTGAAAATACTGCAGTGCTATAAAAGCACTTTGAAAAATGGCCGGGCACAGTGACTTATGCCTGTAATCCCGGCACTTTGGGAGGCCAACGCAGGAGGATTGCTTGAGCCTAGGAGTTCGAGACCAGCCTAGGCAACATAGCAAGACTGTCTTTACAAAAAACCAAACAATTAGCCAGATGTGGTAGTGTGTGCCTCTAGTCTCAGTTGGGAGGCTAAAGGATTTCTTAAGCCCAGGAGGTCAAGGCTGCAGTGAACCATGATTGTGCCACTGCTTTCCAGCCTGGGCAGCAGAGTAAGACCCCAACTCAAAACAAAAATGAAACCAAAAACAAAACAAAAACTGTGAGGCCATATCTATAGAGATATAAAATGATATTATTAAGTATAGGTCCCAACAAAATTTTACTTGTGCTTTGAGAAATGACAAAGAACTAAAATAATGATTACTTGACTTAAAATATCTTAGTAACTAATTATAAGGAAACCCTGAGAATTGTGAAACATTTTTTATTCTTGATTTGTTTTTAATCTTTCAGAGTGATGAGATAATACATGTAACATATGATGATTATGTTTTTTTCCCCAGATTGACATCTACAGACACCATCCCCAAAAGCAAATTTCTTGCACTGGGATCCAAATTTCGATACAGTGGCCGAACCCAAGCTCAGACCAGGCAAGCCAGTGCTCTGATTGACAGGCCTGCCCCACACTTTGAGCGTACAGCAAGCAAACGAGCATCCCGGAGCCTTGATGGAGGTTTGTATTGAATATTAATGATTTCTTATGATTATAATTTATTAGGGAAGATAAAGAAAGTATAGTTATCTATAAGAGAACCAAGCTAAAGACTCTCTGGTAAAATGAAAAGGATCTTACTAATTGTCTAATGTAATAGAATCATCTTCAGAAAAGGAAAATTGCAATTCACAGAGCAATGACTAGATCAGGGTTTCACTGCTAGGTAGTGGTGGATCAAATGCCACTAGAATTAAAATTAAAAATCTAAATCTATCAGAATCTCTACCACAGAGTGAAAACCTAATGTATATTGAACTGAAGGCCTCTTAAATGCTTTCATATAGCTACTCTTGTGGGAAAAAAAGAAAGGATCTGCCTCACTATAGCAACATTTCAAAGAAGTTTGTCACATGGTAATTATAGGTGAGAAAAGCAATCTGGTTATTGGGGTTTACAAATGTTGTTTAAATAAAAAAGGGAGGAAATGCACAAATTTCATGATTGTATATACTGCAGAAGATCTGCCTGAAGTTATGTATGAATTTATGGATCTTCTGTTCTATGTTTGGTTTCAAGCATTTGGAACCATTACTGAAATGGAGTAACAAGCCACATTCAGTTATTTATGCCACTAAAAAAAGGTGGCTAATAAATAAAAGTTCAGAAAATAGGGTATTATTGATTATATTCATTCATGTAATTAATGTGTAACCCTATACTATCTACAGTAAAGCAAGGTGTGTGTTATTTGCATATGTATTATGGAGGCAAAAGGTTTGGGTTTCAATATCAACTCCAGCATTTGTGGACTATGTTCTCAGGCACATTACTTAATTTCTTTGTGCTTCAGTTTTCTTATTTGTAAAATGTGAATGATGACAATAAAATACTACCTCAAGGAGTTTTCATGGAGAATAAATGAGATAATATATATATGGTACTTAGCTCAATGACTGGCACTTAATAAGTTCCCCCAAAATGTTAACTACTTTAAGGTTTTGTTTCTCTGGCTGCAGTGTTATTATTTTGTTTAGTGTCATCCAGTACTGTGCTGCCATATTCAGATTTGTTGATATATGCAGATCCTTTCATGAAGTATGTAGACCATTGTACAACAGCCATAGACACCATTTGGAAATTCTCAGCCTTTCAAGTAGCTTGAACCACAAGCATGTGCCACCATGCCCGGCAACTTTTAAAAATTTTATTGTAGAGATGAGGTCTCACCAAGTTGCCCAGACTGGTCTCGAACCCATGGGCTCAGGCAGTCCTCTCACCTCGGCCTCCCCAAGTGCTGAGATTATAGGCATGAGCCACTGTGCCTGGCCTGAGTCCAAGAGTTTGAAATCAGCCTGGACAAAAAAATGAAACTCAAATAGAAAAATTAGTAGGCATAGTGACTCACACCTGTAGTTCCAGCTTCTTGGGAGGTAGGGCAGGAGGATCACTTGAGTCCAGGATCACTTCAAGACTTCAGTAAGCCATGATTGTGCCACTGCACTCCAGCGAGGGTGACAGAGTAAAACCCTGTCTCAAGAAAGAAAGGAAGGAAGGAAGAAAGGAAGGAAGGAAGGAAAGAAGGAAGGAAGGAAGAGGGAAGGGGAGGGGAGGGGAGGAGAAAAAGAGAAACACCTACTTCAGTTTAGAGAAATAAGGAATGGGTCAGCTACACTTGAAAAATTACCACCCAGGCAGTAGTATTTTTGTGCTTCTATTCCTTGAGTCATGTTTCTTCTTTTGGATATTTCTTTACTTTCCTGAGTTTAAGGGTCTGTCTTAATAGTAATAGTACAAGGCACATCGCATGCTTTGTCTTATTTAATCTTCTTGAAAATACTATCAATTAATCTCAGAGATTAAATAACTTTTCTTAAGATATGATAGCTGAAGCTGGGCACAGTGGCTCATGCCTGTAATACTAGTACTTTGGGAGGCTGAGGTGAGAGAATTACTTAAGGCCAGGAGTTTGAGACCAGCCTGGGCAACATAACAAGACCTCATCTCTACAAAATATATATTTTTTAAAATTAGCCAGGTGTGGTGGTATATACCTATAGTCCCAGCTACTCAGGAGACTGAGACAGAAGGATCATTGAGTCCAGGAGGTTGAGGCTGTGGTGAACTATGATCATGCCACTATATTCTAGCCTAGGTGACAGAGTGAGACCCTCTCTCAAAAAAAAAAAAAAAATGATCGCTGGTAAATAGAAGTACTAAGATTGGAATTCAGGTTACTTTAACTCCAAAACCCATGTTCTTTCAGATATTTATTACTTTGTTCGACAATTTATTTTATACTTCCTATAGGCCAGATATTGTTCTAGTCACTGGAGATACAGATATGAACACACAGATAAAGTCTTTGCCTTCATGGAACTTACATTCTGTCAGTAGAAACAGAAAAGAATAAAACAAAATAATTTCAGATGGCAATGAATGCTGGAAGAAAATAAAACAGGGTATGGGGATATAGAGTATCTGGGCATGGTGGAGATTGAGGAACTATTTCAGATTGGGTGGTGCAATTTAAATTTAGAAGTTTCCTCTGAGGAGCTGCATTTGAGCTGAGACCTGAAGTATATGAAGGAACTAGTCATCTTAGAATCTGGGGAAAGAACATTCCAGAAGAGAGAGTAGTGAGTATAAAATCCTGAAGGTAGGAATGAGGTTGGCAGGTGTCTAGATCAGTGCTATCCCACAGCTTTCTGTGCTGATAAAAATCTTTTATTTTGTGATACCCAGTTTGGTAACCAATATGCATGTGTCCATTAAGAATGTGAAATGTGACTATGTAACTGAGGAACTGAATTTTAATTTAATTTCAATTTAAATAGCCACAGGTAGCTTGTGGCTCTCATATTGGACAGCACGAGTCTAGATCCTAGAAAATGAAGGGAGAGGAGTATAAAATGAGTGAGGTCAGAGAAGTAGATGGGGGCCAGATTGTATAGGGCCATGTAGGCCACAGTAAGGAGTTCAGATTTTACTTTAATTGCAGGGAAGCTATTGGAAGGGTAATATAATCTGACTTTCATTTTTAAAACATCACTCTGGCTGCTGGGTGAATACTCCACTGAAGTGAGAGTGAAAGCATAAGCCAGTTGAAGGCTGTTGTGGAATCTGGGACAGCTTGGACTTGAGTATTGGCAACGAAGACAGTGAAAAGCAATCAGGGATACATTTTGGAGACAAGCTGATAAAATTGCTTATCAGTTAAGTAGCAGAGCTGGCTTGGTGGCTCAGCCTATAATCCCATACTTTGGGAGGCCGAGGTGAGTGGATTGCCTGAGCCCACGGGTTCAAGACCCACCTGGGCAACTTGGCAAGACTGCATCACTACAATAAATCAAAAAATTAGCCAGGTGTGGTAGCACATGCCTGTACTCCCAGCTACTTGGAAGGCTGAGGTGGAAGGATCGCCGGAGCCCAGCAGGTCGAGGCTGCGGTGACTGGGAGCGTGCCACTGCACTCCAGTCTGGGCGACAGAGTGAGACTCCAACTCAAAAAAAAAGAAAGAAATTAAGTAGCAGAGATGGTAAGGAAAAGAAAATCAAGTTTTATTCCTAGGTTTGATCATTTAGTGGAATAGGAAAGTCTGAGAGAGGAACAGCACTTGGGATGTGAAATATAACTTCTGTTTTGGATAAGTTATGTTTGAGGTGCGGTCACTCAACTTCAATATCAGGCATCTCCCTCCTTGTAGAGTAAATCACTTTACCCCCAGATTACCTTTGGTGTGGGGAGCTACTTTTTAATCCTTACTTTTTAGGTGAGAAAATTGAGGTTGGAGAGTTAGTTGATTTGTTCAACATCTCACGTACCGTAAGTTGCAAAGCTAGGACAAAAATTCAGGTCTGTCTGATACCATATCCCATGGCTTTTCCCACTAAATGGAGCTATATAGTTATAGCAAAAACAAACGAACAAAAAATTAAAGTGACCGTGAACTTTGGTACCTTGAACAATGTAGAAAGCTTTACTTTAAGAAATCACATCTTGACTAGCTCTATTTTTTTTTTTTTTTTTTTTTTTGAGTTAGAGTCTCACTCTGTTGCCCAGACTGGAGTGCAGTGGCTGCTCCCGGCTACCACATCCTCGACCTGCTAGGCTCCGGTGATCCTTCCGCGTCAGCCTTCCAAGTGGCTGGAATTACAGGCATGTGCTACCACACCCGGCTGATTTTTTTATTTATTGTAGAGATGAGGTCTCGCTGCCCAGGCGGGTCTCGAACCCGCGGGCTCAGGCAATCCACTCACTTCAGCCTCCCAAAGGCTCGGGATTACAGGCTGAGCCACCGAGCCCGGTTGACTAGCTCCATTTTTCTAGCTATAGAAACCTTACAGTTCAATTAAGGTATTAGAAAAATCCTAATTATAGTTATAATGGAGAAAAGGAAAAAAAAATCCTGATGTCTCATTCTATTGACTAATACTGACCAGTTATTATCAAGTTATACACGAGGGGGAAAAAATCTCCCAGAGGGGAAAATTTTGCTTTCAAAATGCTATACTTGAGATGCTTGAGATTCTTAAACCAAAGCGTGTAAGACAATTTTAAGGAAAGACAGTTACAGTTTTTGTGGTTTTATCATTAGTATCACAGGATTTTGGAACTTGAAAAAGAATTTTTTGAAATCATTTATTCCAGTTATCTAATTTTATAGAAGTGGAGCCTGAAGTTGATTTGAATAATTTGTCAAAGTTAACATCCTTTGTTAGTGCAGACTTAGGACAGACTCTACATTTTCTGGTGCTAGTCAATCCTTTTTTTTTTCCTGATATATTTCATGACACTTCTTTCCTATCTTTACATTTTGAGAAATTTTTTTAAGATGCATGATCTTGCCGGGCTCGGAGGCTCAGCCTGTAATCCCGCACCTTGGGAGACTGAGGTGAGTGGAATGCCTGAGCCCGGGGGTTCAAGACCCGCCTGGGCAACTTGGCGAGACCTCATCTCTACGATAAATCAAAAAATTAGCTGGGCGTGGTAGCGCACGCCTGTAGTTCCAGCTACTTGGA